AAATATTAGAGAAACTTAGTTGTTTTAGATTCGTTAGTAGTAGTTGTGTAATGAACAGCTTGCCTGCTAATATGCTAACCTAGCTTTGTTTACCTTGGTAGCTAACACGATATGAACGTTAGCTTGGAGGAAAGGCAACTATAATGCAGTGTAATAAAACTACTATGAACAAAAGCTAGTGGTTCATATTAGGCTAGCAATAACGTGTTTATAATTGCAATCGTATACGGGTATTCTGCTACGTTCGGTCATACAATGTAACTTGCATGAATACATTGTTTTGCGCTAGCATACAGCTAGCCTCGTTAGCTACATGCAGTATATGTACGGTCACAATGTACGGTAAATCACAGTACAGTATACTGTATGAGTATTCCGTGTGTGTGACTGCAGACATTCTCCTGCCATGACAAACATGTAAGGCCATCTGCTGACATTGTAGTTGATATATTTAAACGCTAGCAACGTAGCATCACAAAAATGTTTTTCTGACCGAAACTAGCTCTAGCTCCGTGTGTTAGATCGCTACGCCAGCTATAATGTAATTACGTTTCGCGACTGACCGGCAAATCACCCGGAGTATACTGTCAATAGGTATTTTGTGTGTGAATGCAGACATTCTCCTGCTATGAGATACATGTATGCAAGGCCATCTGCTGATATTAGAGTTGATATATGGAAACTCTAGCAACTTAGTTAGCACTGTGTCAATGGCTTAGCAGTCCAACACAGTTTACACATTTAAACAGTCTTGTTTGATAAATACACAAATAACAATGCAAACTTACAGGTTGTATACCCAGATCTTCCCCTGCTCCAAACGGTCCAAACAAGCTGTGCATATCCGGCCTCAAACTGGGCAATGTTTTGGAAGCTTTCGTCTGTGAAATGCCGGTTCTTCGAACCTCTGGAGGAGGAACACGACGCTGCTGGTGTGGCCATAGCTCTTCGGGATTGGTCCATTTCGTTCCGGGTACCGCATGACATCAGGCGGTACCCGGAACTAAATGGAAGACTCAAATGGGCAGTGACGTATCTCCAACGAGGCGTTTTGGGGAGGTATTTTCTGTGTTAGAGTTTTACTCGCTACAGGGTGTACTTTGAGGGTTTTGACTCTGCACACCGTTTACATGCATAAAAACCTTCATAACACACAAGGGGACGGGTAATAACCGGAAAAGCATGACATGGGAGCTTTAAATAGAAAGTCATGACAGAGATAATGAGGAGAAAATGCTTAAGGAAGTAGGCAGAGAATATCAATGTCGAAATCATCTGTGCTCTCGCGATATCGAACCGGCAAATGAGTAGGGGGCCACCCACTATTTGCACAGCGGGGGACAACGAGACGTGGATAAAAAGGCAGGACGAAAGATAACGCACTCTCTTCCCTTCGCTGCAGCCTCCCTCAAGACAACACCGGCTTTGTCTCTCCATTCACCATGCTTGTTCTTTAACCACGTTACTTAATTAAACTACCCATTTGAACCTTTTCAGAGACTCCATTAGTCTCGTTATTTTAAGTTTCTTTCCTGGGAGCGAGAAGATCACAAATTATCAACATTTGGCTGACCCAGACGTGTGATATCAACACTGGGAGAGAAATCGCTAGTTTCGACGGAGATTCCGCCAACCAAAAGACACACAAAGGGCCCATACACAAACGGTAAGGAGAAGCCAGTTATATCAAATTCTTCAATAGCTTATATAGAACCATTTAGATTTGTGTGTTTTGCGGCGAGCAGGACATCCTGAGAACAGCTGTTAATTTAATGTTAAATATAAATTTAAACCAAACCACGTGGCGTTGTTTTACAGCAAGCAGGGTGAGTCTATTTTCCTTTCTTTGATTCATTAACCAACTGCATGTTTTTTTAAACCAACTGCATGATTATAATGTGTGTGTTTTCCAAGCCGGATATATTAATGTGCTTTTAAGCCGGTATTTATATAATCTTTTTAAAAAAAAAATAATTAAAAAAAAAAATAAAAATAAAATAAAATTAATAAAAAAAAAAAAAATAGATCCCAGATATTGTTCGGATGACATAGGATATTTGTTATCAGGAGCGAAGGTACTATTCAGTAGATTAGTGATTCATCTTTGATACATTTAAGGACTATATCCAACTACTTATTATATTGTGTTTGACGACTTATAGATGGACTCTTGTCGTTTTGTATATTCTCAAGACAGATGGTATCTTCTTGACAGAGAAATAGATGGTATCTTTTCTCGTTATTAGCAAGTTAAAGATGGAATCTTCTTGTTAAAGAGAGTTGATGGCATCGTCTCGTTTTTAGTCTCAAGATCAGATGGAATCGTCTTGTTTCATTGTCCCAAATAAGTGAGATGGTCTCTTGTTTAATTGGTGATAAGAGTCTGTGGAAGTCTGAAGTATACTCTTTAATCATTGCGTGTGCATTACGGAAAGAAATGCGGCATTCGTGCGTTAGATAGACGATATTCTTTTAATAGTGTTTGACTGGCTTCCCATTTGGTCGCATAATAGCGTGAGAGTTGCTCAGACGACCATAGACTAAATAGTTTTGATGGTCTCTAACTATTTTGTATTAACTTGTTTAAATTGTATAGCATATTGAGAGCGTCGTGCTGATATACTGCTCTGAAATTTAGCCTGGAATGAGGTCTCCTTGTTGAGATCAACACCTCCAGGATTTCAACGCATCAGAGACGGCCATTCTTCTTGCAAAAAACTCTTTGTTCTGCAGGTCAGCATTTGAAATCAGTTGCCATCTTGTTTTGACCTCATGTTGACAAACAATGACATGGCAGTCGCCATTCTGTGAAATGTTAATTCAGAGGACCAGTTGTTGTCTTTTTGAAATCCATTCAGTTTCACTCACATGAGGCTAATTCAATATTCATGACCTCCATAGTGTGTAGAAAAAAAATCATTCTTCTTGAGTCAAAGTTGGAATTAGATATTCCATTTTGCTGAATCAGGTTATCTATACCGTTGGAGTTTGGTTTTTGAAGAAAAAGATTATTGTATTTTCTAAAAAGCTCAAATCTGATTTTTGAAATATTAGTCCTTGCAAAGGAGTTTTACCTGCTTATGCTTATACTGTGCGATGTGGTTTGGCTGTTTTATGCTTTGTCGATTAATCCTAAAAATTGTGTGTGCTGATGGCTGTTTTATGCTTTGTCCATTAATCCTAAAAATTGTGATTGCAAGTGTATTCGCTGGTTTAAGTTTGACTGTTTAATCATAAAGTGAATTTCTTTCCCATATCAAAAGTAGTTTTTAAGAAAATAAGCTTCTTGTTAAAAAGAAGTCAGTTTCTAGAAAAATTTAAAAGGGGGGGAAACAAAGCTGAAAAATTACAACAGCGCACTCTGCTGGTTGTACAGAATTGTGCACAAGAAATAGGGGTAAAAGGACAAACGTATAAATACAACACCAATTGATTATAATTATGCTAAGGTTTACTTTCAAGTATTATAGATGAACGCGTACTTCATCACACATAGATAGAATCACAGGTGGTTCCTGATATTAAGATAAGAAACCTTACATAAGTCTTTCAACCTAGACTGTAGAATACCTAAACACCACACAATTGAAGTAAAAACATAGTTTATGACATTAGCATAATTTCATGCACTTTGGAATACACTATACACAGTAAAGCCAGATTTTTACGAGATTTCTATTTGCATATTTCAAAGCCAAGCCACTGTACAAGGTTTTAAAAAAAAAAAAAAAAAAAAAAAAAAAAAAAAAAAAAACTTTTTTGCATATTTTTATATTTCTTTATTAATCTTAAAAAAAAAAAAAAAAAAAAAAATCCCAGATATTGAAGTTAGGTTCGGATGACATAGGATATTTGTTATCAGGAGCGAAGGTACTATTCAGAAGATTAGTGATTCACCTTTGATACATTTAATAACTATATCCAACTACTTAAGCAATATGTCCCCAAAATACACTAAGTTAGGAGCACCCGCAGAGCCAGGGTCAACTGCAGACATCAAGGCAAAGGTACATGTCAGATCAGATGCCACAACACATGCATCAGACAGACAAAAGAACTGGAAACAGATACAGGAATTGTTTGATCAATGGCAGACGAGAGGATTGATTCTAGCAGATGATCAACCTGGCCCAACAAAAGCCCATAGAAAAGCTGTAGTTGCTTATGAGAATGAGAGATACTTAGACCAGCAAGAAGCATGGATCCACACCAGACACCCCTTTTGGTATGGACCTGAACAAAGCGCTATGAACAAAGCTGAAAAAAGAAAAACGACAGTTACAAGTCTGCTGCTCCATCTGAAATATGCCAGCCAGGGATTGACAAACAGCATACATGTGTTAAAAGCGGCAGATCGGCCAGTGAAGGAAGACACAGCAGGAATAACAGAAGAGGCTCCAGTTATCCAAACTCAAGAGCAGAATCCAAGTCTAACTGAAGTGTCTTTTTCCAACATATCAGAGAACAACCCTTTTCACCAAGCCCCTATAGGAGAAGTATTGGAGTTGGATGGACTCCCCACAGCTACACGTGTCAAAGACTTGGAGTATGAAGTAAGGATGCTATCTGGTGAAGTTAACCAGCTGAGGGAGGAACTCAAAAGAAGAGAGGAAGACGGATCTCAAGACGCTACAACAGTAGCTATAGCTGGAAGACCCAAGAACTGCACAATCCACATGTTACCGGTGATAGCAGCTGGAGAAGGAGGATTTCAATACCAACCATGGACTCACAGGGACATGGAAACATTAGTGTCCAAGCTACCTCCACTCACCAAAGGAGGTCAGAAGTGGGTGGATGATCTGGAGAAGTACACTGTCCAAGACGACCTGTGCTTGGGAGACATGAGGGCACTGCTAGGACGGATAGAAGGAAGACTAAAGGCAAGAGCAGTAGATTTCGAGGCCAAATGCGCCAACTCTGCAGATGACATTTCATTCAACAAAATCAGGTCGAGCTATTGGGCTGCTATTCGTCACATCTACCCGACAGCATACAGTTTACATGCCCTCACCAGCCTGAAAAAAGGAACGGAGGAAGACATGCATGCCTTCTTGAAGAGATGTGAAGGAGTGTGGGAGGACAGCACTGGAGAACGACATGACGTTTCTCCGGCTGTCGTGATGTTGTGGAAGAATGCGGTCATTAAAGCCCTTCCCCAATCCGTGCAGGCATGCCTGGAAGACAAGGTGGGATTAGACATTAAACCCATTGAAGAATGGAGACAACATCTCATTCACCAAGACATGACATACCAGGCAACACAGAGGGAAAATGACGAAGTGATGAAAGCACTAAAACTAAGACTTTTGAAGATGCAGGTAGCTGAGAAAGACATTGAGGCTTGTAGGAAGAAGACAAGGAGAAGGGAGGAGAAGCTTTCAGAGATAGCCATAGAACCAGAGAAGGCAGGGCGAACACCTCTAACAGTTCAAACTCAGGAAGAACCAGAGAATCAAATGCAGAACCAACAAAGCGGAGGAGGAAGTTTCAGAGGAAGACGTTTCCAGAATGGTGGCTGCTACACATGTGGTCAGACGTCACATTGGTCCAATGCATGTCCCACACAACTCCAGCAACAGCAAGCACCTGTGTATCTTCCTACCCAAGTACAGCCACAAGCACCACAGTATCTTCAACAGCAAACACCTGCATATCTGCCTACCCAAGTACAGCCGCAAGCACAGGTATACCCTCCCATACAACGAAGGGGCAGAGGAGGACGTTTTCAATCAACAGAAAGAGGTTCCCAAAGTGAAGGATGCTTCAAATGTGGTCAGCTGACACATTGGTCCAGAGAGTGTCCGCAGAACATTGCATCAAACAACGGCCCTCCACAAAGTTACCCCAGGGGAGGTTTCCATGACTATAACAGAGGCAGGGGGTCTCAGGGATGGCAAAGAAGAATAGTATTTCCAAACATGAATGTTATTTAACAATAGTGAGTAGCATATTGCATTTAAATATAAATCATCCACAGATTAGTATAAGAAGATTAAAACATAGTAGAACATTTAGCAGACTATTTTTGTAATTATGAGAAGGAAAGAGATTACGAGTGATGTTGTTCCCCCACACAGAAAACTATTGTGCCCACACAGCTAGAGAGGTCAAGACAATGGTTTTCGCCCAAAAGATGAAGATGAAAGCCTAGTCCTTGCCCAAGACGGAGGGTCCTTACCAAGTCCTCCTGTTTAAATCGACTGCAGTTCAAGGGGCAGTACAGGCTACACCTGATGTGCAGCTGCTAAGAAAAAAAACAGAAACTCGATTCTGCTGTGGTGAAGTCTGGCTACAAAGGGAGGTGTTTCAATAAGATCGCTTGTCTCAAACCAGTGAAGAAGTCAACAAGAACCCAGCAGAACTAGAGAGTGACTGTTAGCGGGAGAACAGTGACAGAGTGACAGAAACTGGCACAACATTTACCAGCCACCATAGATAGACCCCGTCAGAAGACCGGGGCTGTGTTTAAAGGGGAACTTCATTTATTAAGTTGAGGTATATATGGAGTCAGATTACATTCTCTCATAAACACATTTTTATAATAGGTCTGAAGTTTCTGATTTAAGGCATGAGCTGCCAACTAAATAACATAACACTGAGCTTGGATGAAGAAGTTGTAGGGTTTTTTACAACAGTTTCAAGAATCAGTCTTCATTTATTTATGTTCAAGTGAATTTGTTGATTTATAAAGTAGTGCATAAAGCAATATCTATTTTTAAGTGAGGGACATCAGCCCTTCATGTTCTTCTGCGTGCAACCCTCTGTGAGAGTAGTTCGTATTTCCCACTAGTTTAAAGACATATTATTCTGTCATGATTTGTTTGTTTAACAGTGTCAGCCAATCTCTAATACTAGAGCTATTAAGACGTATTAGCAACACCAGTGTGTTTTTTTTCTCTCGCAGCAACACTGATACATAGTACCATGACAAAAGCCATTATTGAACTAACAAGAAGTAAACTATATTGTTGTACTAATGACAGATTTTTAGTCAATGTGCATTTATACCATTGGAAGACGATACATCACACAACATCTTTGTACGCCTTGTGGGTACACAGAGGATTTATATGTGTTTGCTACGACGTTATGGGTTTTCCATGTCCTATTCATAATAGAGTAATCATTGCGATATTAATTGAGCATTTTATGCTCAAAGGAGGGAAGGTCATGATTAGTCAGATAATGGATTTCGGTAACGTTGTAGTTGATAAATACTAACATGCTGTCAACAATAGGTCGCATAACAACAAAAGGTATACCAAAGCTTGGGCCTCCTCCAAGGAGGGAGTGGTCCAGTTTTAGATATTAGACAAATAGAAGTGGATGAATATGTCAGAGCTCCGAGTAATATTTTCCAAGTTTTTGTCTACACAGGCTAGGAAAGACTGCACAGATACCAGGCGAGACATCAGAAGAGACTCCTGTTCGGCCAGGTGATTGGGTGAGGGTGAAAGTTCCCAAAACACAGTGGGCTGATCCCCGGTGGTCGGAACCGTGACAAGTTGTAAAGAACTTCCCACGCGCTCCGGTTTAAAGGTAAAGAAAAAGGAGCAAATTGACACCACCTCACACATTGTCACCCTTCACTGGCAACTTCCAGAAAAGTTATTGGAAGCTAGGACTGATTTGGCAGAGCTGGAACAAAAACAATAAATAGAAATACGATTAAGATCAACAGCTCAAGAGACGAATTGTCTTTAGATTTTTATAGATTGTACACTAAAGTGAAAACCTATTTTGTTTTTTCACCTGAAAAAGAGTCCAACGTTTTGTTTCCATTTTCGTATACGTTATTTTTGTACTCATTTACATTTTATAACTGACACAACCATGGATAAAATGTCAAGAACAAAGCCAAAGCAATTATGGGGTCCCCTAGGGATAAGAGTCAGAATAGCATTGTTGATTGTGCTCATTACACTTGGCACCTTACTGGTTGGATGGGGAGTACACTATCATGAAAGACATGGATCCATTAGTTCACTCGTAGAAAATGCCCACATCACTAACAAAACTCCAGCAGTGTTTCAGAGACTTTCACTTATCCCCAGAGCCAAAAGATCAGTTGAGCAACAAGAGGAGGAGTTAGAAATACTCGTTCCCAAAGGTGAGGAGGTTACAATCAAGATGATTCACCCCCCCTATATGCAGTTCTTGTACCAAATGATGAGATGGGTTTAAGTGATCGGAATATTTAAGTGATGGGAATTTACAATTTAGGGGAATCTCCAAATACACTGGATCCATGTTTTAGTCTGTACCAGAAACACCCCATGTTAAGACTATGGACAACCGACTGGTGACCTGAGCACAATTATTGAAAAGTTATTACAGTAGAAACAGGGTACTAACCCACGAGGACAACTGTATGTACAAACTCTATGAACAAAATTCCCCAACAGATTGTGTGCACAGATGTATCCAGTCACAAAAGTTACTATTGTTCTAAGTAATAGTGAGATTTAACATATTGGAGAATATATGGAGACGTCCTTTTATAGTGTGTGAAACATGTGGTGCTTGAAACATGTAAGTATTTCAATTTATAGAAGAAAATGGTTTCCTGAAAGAGTTATTTGGAGTAGATGTGTTACAGTGGGAGAAAAAACAATGTTTAGAGATAAAGTACATTTATTAGTAGACATTAATTGTGTTTAGATGGCATTTAACATTTAAAACAGATAGTATGATTAGAAGATAGAGTGGAGAAGGTTAGATTTACTTTACCTCAGTGTGTTAGAATTTCCATAGGTAATGCGTCCCGAGACCTGGACTCTCTCTCTCTCTCTGCCTGTCAGACTGCTACGACCCCTATCAGACAAAAGACCTCACTACAGGAGACTCCTCCTCCTCCTCCTCCTCCATCGAACAGACAGAGAACCAGAGCTGAACCAACAACGACAAGACTGCATCCAGAACCTTCTCCACCTGCGGCATCCAGAACCAGAACAGCATGCTGACATAAAGAGGCAGACTCATCAGTCCCTAACCCAGGACATGAAGTTCCAAGCTGAGCCACGAGATTTGGCACAAGAGCAGAGTGTGGGACATGAAAGCAGAATACGCCCTCCATACAACAGCGAAGAGACTGTAAAGAAGGAGATGAAATGCAAAGCAGTTGGGCCACTGAAAAGAGTACCAGCGAAAGGATTTAAGAGCTGATGGACTGAGGAGAAGACGGAACCAGAGGAGTTGGCATGGTCGAACAGAATGTGAGGGGGTCGTGGCTTGAGACAACAAGAGGAGGAGAAAAAGAAAACGGGAGTGAGTGAGTTTATACATAAACACACTTATTCACAAACAAACTTGAATTGACTTGATAAATACGTAAAGACAAAAAGATTTATTAGCCATGAATTAATAAATTGGTAAATTAAAATAGTAATAAAGAGGAAACTGTTAAAGTAAAATGAGGAAATAATCCTAAAACACACTGAGGGTACTGTGAGATAAAGGGGTAGACATGATGGAAATATTCACCACACTACACTTTAAGCAGTGAGTGTTGTGGGACTTAGGAGTAGAACATATTTTTCAATCTTTCCATCATGTAAACGAATTATTCCCTAAAAGATTTTATTCATGGGTGAATTTGGTAGAGATCTAATGTGTTACAATATTGATCTCCAGCTAAAGGGATAGTTTTAGTGACCACTCTATAAGAACAGACAAATCTGTGTTAGTTGGACAATGTTAAAGGGAGAGCTAATACCAAGCCAAATATAGTATCCCAATCTAAAGTATTGTTTTCGCCATTGTAGCATAGTTATTACCATAGGAGAACTGTTAAGGTGGAAATAACATTTGTTTGTCCAAGATGTAGAGTTTTAAAGGACACTGGGCAAAGAGCGATTGCAAATTTAATTTTGGAAAAAGCAATATAATTGGGAGTAATACATGCGGGGCCTTGGATCACTCATTGCAATGATGCATATTTTTGACAACCCATATCGTTTAGAGAGAAGGGGTCACTCAACCCACCCAGCAGTTGTTTTAAATCTTACTTGTAGCTTCACAGGGAGCGCACGGCACCAAATTATGAGTTTAAAAGACAAGCGCCACCACCTCCTGATGGTCATCCATTTAATCAGGGATGACCTGAAATTTAGAGATGTTATTTAAAGTAGAAACATATCCGCCATAAGTGAAAATTCCTAAATTGAACTACAAA